CAGAGCAAGCTAATTTATGCAGTAGCCAAACCGCTCGCTCACAACTTTAATGCCAGTCGCTCACAAAGTAGAATTGTTGCTCACAAGGCTCCACAGCTTAGAGGGAACATTGACCTGGAGGTCAGTTGTAATCAATGCTCCCCCTAAGCTGTAGGGTTCCTGCGAGCAGAAAATCCTACTTGGTGAGCTCCGGGCATTAAAGCTGTGACCGAGCGATTGGGCTACTGCATAAATGAGTTCACTCCGGAGCCCTCCTTCCTGAGCTGAGACAAAAAGGGTGTGAGCCGGAGGCTAAAAAACTGTTCAGCTAGCTCACACTGACTCAGCTCTGAGGGAACACTGGTTGTAATCCCTGGAGATCTCCAGCCACTACCTGGAGTTTGGCAACCCTGTCTGTGACGTTGTGTCCCACTGAGGTCCTTGCCACATGCCCAGGCTCCGCCCCTAAATCTCCAGGAGTTTCCCAGCCTGGCGCTGGTAACCTTACGCCCCCCCATCCCACTCTGAGTTCCGTTCTCCAGGTTTTGCTCTGGAGAGGCATGGTTGCTGCCTTTACCGAGCCAGGAGCGTCACGTTGCCAGCCTCCAGGTGGGGGCTGGAACTTTCCAAGAGTCATACCTGATCTCCAGGTGAGAGAAGAAATCAGTTCCCCTGAGAAAATTATATAGACCGTAAGAGAAATGTTTCTCCCCGGGTACTGCTCCTCCGGAGCTCCAGGAATTTCCAAAGCCAGAGTTGGTGACCCTGCCAGCTGCAGTTTGGGAAATCCCTGGAGCTTTGGGGAGGGAGATCAGCAGAGGGGGTGCCTGGCAAAGGTGCCCTTTCCTCCAGGGGAACTGAGCTCGGTCGTCTGGAGATCAGTTTATTTATTAGATTTCTATCCCGTCCTCCCGGCCTGGGCCGGCTGTCAGGAGATCACCAGACCCCACCGGGAGGTTAGCAGCTGTACAGGAAGTGGCCTCTCTGTCGTGTTTGTATAATGTTGTTTCCTGTGCATGTGATGTCCGCTTTCCCTGCTTGCAGCGACCCTGTGAGGTCGGCTGGGGCGGAGAGGAAATGCCTGACCCGAGATCACCGGATGCACCTGGCAGGAAAGTGGGGATTTGAGCCTGGTAGTCCTAGATAGGTGTTCTAGGGCTACCAGGGCCCTTGCCGGGGAGATGAGGCTGTTGCAGAGCGGTTGGCCTCAGGGCACCCAGTTCTCCCCTCCTTTGTTGTATCTTCACAACAATTTGGAGAGGTAGGTAGGTCAGGCTGAGAGAATGTGGCTGGCCCACGCAGTGGCTCTCACTGGGTTCCTCGGGCAAAAAAAAGGGCCTTTCCCAATACTTAGAATCATAGAGTTGGAAGGGACCTCCAGGGTCATCTAGTCCAACCCCCCTGCACAATGCAGGAAGTTCATAAATATCTCCCACACACACACCCCCAGTGACCCCTGATCCATGCCCAGAAGATGACCAAAAAAACCTCCAGGATCTCCAGCCAAACCGGCCTGGAGAAAAATGGCTTCCTGACCCCAAAGTGGTGATCGGCCTTTCCCTGGGTGTGTAAAAAAGGGCCACGAGAACTAAGCACTGAGGCGACCCTCCCTGCCCTCCCTTCTCATGATCTGCCTCAGTTCACAGAATCCGCATCGCTGACAGGTGGCCGTCTAGCCATCTTGCAGTCCTTTGTGGGGCCTTCTGCGTGCAAAATGTTATTCTCTCCGTATACTGTGGCCCCCAGTGCTCCTCAGGCGTGTTCTGTGGTTGGTGACGAAGGTGGGCTTGTGCCACAGGTATTACTGAGTTAACTATGGCCGAACTGAAAGCGACAGAGAGAACTGAAGAAACATGGCACGGTTAACCGTTGCCTAGAAAGAAGTAAAGGATTCGCTGTAGTGGGGTACAGGGTTACTTAACTTCCTGTACAGGAGCTCTGCCACAAATGCCTCGGAGACTCTGACGGTGGGAGTTGTGGAAGCTTTTTTAATCCAGATAATTTACTCTCCCCCCCCCCACGGCTACAAGGCATGTGATTGGGAGAGGTTCTGATGCACAAATCTGTGCCTGCGTGCTCCCGTTGCCAAATTGGAAACACACAGTCGGAGTACAACAAGTTAGATGAATATCTGTTTAATGCATTTAAAACAGGGAATTCAGGGCTGAGTACCTTTGCACGTCAGCCATTCCAAAGCTGTATTCTGCCATAACCAGGAAAGGCAGAAGGTCTTATACCCCAAATGACAACACGTATAGTTTACACATTAAAGAGTCTCCAATTGGTACCAAGCAATTAACATCATACAGGCATCATTTGACTCAGTGCATCTCTCAGTGGTGTCAGTAATTACACTTGTTTATCTTCAGAACATTGGGAACATTAGAGAACACTGGGTCCCTTCCTGGGCTTGCACGTGGAGAGCTAGCTGATAAGGGCTGTGAATCGCATGCGAGCCCAGGAAGGGACCCAGTGAGGAGAAACAGGAAGCCCAGTCACTGGCGATGTCCAGGGACAAAAAGAACAAGCAGCGACGGAGATTGTCGGTTTGAATCTCCTCTTGCCGCTTTCTTTCTGGATGGCCTTAGGTAGGCTCTTGATTCTCAGACAAAACGCACAGGTATATAGGACTGATACACTGACCGACAGCCTCCCTACAAGGATCACAAGAAGATAGCATGAATGATGCACTTTGAACACACAAGTGCGGTATGAAAGCTAAGGGTTGCTACTTCGGGTCGTATCTGTTCAGAGCGGTGCTGCTTCCTTTGTGTTTCAGTGTGTGCCGGTTATGGAGAGAGTGTTCCCGTCGGTTGCTGAGGAATCGGCAGAGTTTCGCCTGGATCTCTACAGCTGAATCATGTTCATCCAATAATCACGCTCTGGTCCAGGTGTTAGAAGAGGAGCTTGAAGTAAGTGTATGGGCAGTATCAGAGCATATTTGAAAGTATTCGGTAGCTTTGGTAATTGTCCAGGGTGGTTTTTAAATTCATTTTTAAATAGCTGGCTAACTTGTAATAATTTCATTTGATTTTTTAAAAATCGGAGCTGCCTAAATTTGCCAGTAAACTAGTTGCTTTGATTAAAAGAGCTCTTTTGATTCTAGAAGACAGATAGTGCCTCCTCTGTCATCCTTGGCCGTGTTTCTAATTAGTATTTATAGTTAAAAGCAAAGGTTGATGTTAAAATGTGTTACCCAGTGAACCGGTCGCACTTAAGGTTTTTGATCTGCCCATCTAACCAGTGGATTTTGCAGCCTTAGAAATCACATGGGTGTTTCGAGACATTTTAAAATCATTCCTTGACCGTTGCAGGAGGTTGGTGGAGGTCGCTGTGCGTTTTGTTTTAGGATACAGAAACGTACATTATTGCGCAACTTGCTGGTATGAGGCCAGGCAGAGAAGTCTGTAGAAAGCGCTTATGGATTTGCAGCATATGAGCTTTGGACCCGTGAGGTGGAAGGAACGGTAACTGATGAGGCATGAGCCCCTTCCTGACTGAGTCTGCCAACCTTAATGTGTTTCATCGGTTTGTTCTGTAATCTTCGTCTCCGGCATGCAAACCCTGTTGGGACCAGCCAAGCCCTATTAACTTCAGCAAGGCTCCTGAAGGGGAACTTCTTGGTGGGTTGGGCCCTTCTCCTCTGTAGTGCGGGAGGCTACTGAGATGCACTTTTGGTAGCCTCGTCCCGGCGTGGTCACGTGACGTGCCGGCATGCTGCTGATGCTGGACTTTGGCCCTTTTGTTTTGAGTGGCGTGAAAGGCAAGCGCCCAGTGGAGTGTTCTGGAGTTTTCCCAGCTGTATTGGGTGTCGATGACCCAGCAGCGTGGCGCTAAAGACTGTGGATTCTTGTTTCCCCCAAGATGCATCGAGACTGACAATGTTTTTCAGTGAAATGGAAGACTTGCGTCAGTTTTATAAAGAAATGGCTCGGGCAGGGCTCCCAAGTCCAGAGGGGTTTTGAAAAGTCGGTTGTGTGAATGTGAGGTGGCAATTAGAAGCCCTTCTCTGAGCGGCACAGGTAACCTAAGCCGCCGCTGCTGTTATGGACGCAGCTTTCAAAAGGGAAAGAACGATCCTTCTGTTTCGATGACTGTGCATAGTGATAGGACGTCACAGCCGAGAGGTCTTGAGCCTTGGAATGGGAGACAGGCTGTGTCGACTCCGGAAGGGTTTCATCTGTCTTCCCCCGGGAGGGGTGTTCCTAAAGGGTGGGGCTGACCCGTTCTGGGCTAGGCCGAATATATTGGACATTGGCACTTGTGCGCATACATTTGCGTAGGACTGAAAGTGCGGCCTGTCATATGCACCCAGTGCTTGCTTTTTCTCCGAAAGTGAAGCTCGTGAATGTGCGCTCACACACAGACACACAGTCTGTTGTGCTTGGTGGTTTTTTTTTTCATTTTGCAGAAAGTCCAGGTGCTGCCCCAGATGGTGTTTTATATAGCAGATGCAGAGACTTTCAGCGGCCACGAAGAGCACTGCCGTGGGCAAAAGAAAGGTGAGCATCCCTTGAAATCACTTTGTGAGGTTTGGACTTGATGAGACAATGTCAGCGATGCTGCCATTGAAGGTGGAGGGGGGGAGGTGGATGAATAGTCTGCCATCCCTTGAAATCACTTTGCCATTGAAGCTGGAGGGGGGGAGGTGGATGAATAGTCTGCTGTTATCCTGGAATCTTAGCTTTTGTTTCTTCTCGCCTCGTCTTATCTGCTAGTTTAGGCCAGTGACCTTGGTACCTCGCTACTGATGCTTTCCCTGGGAACGCAGGCTCGTTAGCCTGGGTGCGCTTTCGCCTATTCCCCGATTGGCTTAACTCCATCAGGGGACCCCAGTTTGAATTATGTATAACCAGGGGTCATTTCGTAGAAAAAGAGGTGCAGGAGCTCATTAGCACAGCTCATTAGCATAACTTATTTGCATGTGCCACACCCTCTGACATCACCGGAAGTGTGTCAGAAGGCAACACCCACCACTCAGGCTCCACTGGACTCTTTTGGATTGCTAGCTATCGGGGGGGGAAGCGTGCAGATCTGTCCTCACAGAGGAGGGAGAGCTTGTACCTGAATAAAACTTGGTCTTTAAAGGTGCCACTGGACTGTTTTGGACCGGGGGGGGGGCGGGGTCTCTGCAGCTTACCTGGCTGCTTCTTGCTCTGACTGAGGGCTGCTGGGAGCAGGGGGCGGGGCTTGTTGCATGTGCCTGCCCCCTGGGCTCTTTACTGCCGGAGCTCCGCTCCTGTGCGCTCCCGCAGGAAATGACCCCTGTGTATAACTCCCCATTTCCCATGCTTCCAATCAGTTCTGACACAGTATGTGTGCACAGATGACCTGCCCTTACTGTATTCAATAAAGTTGAACCTTTTTAAGGAACGTTGTTGAGAACTGATTGCTGCGGGACTCTGACAGGCAAGCAGAGTCATAATGTGACCAGTGGACATAAACACGGAGGCGGAAGACCAGGTTTTGGGGCCACACTCCGTCAAATGACCCCTGGCGAGTTAGTCTTTTCCAGTGGTTTAGGGTGGTGTTCTTAGGGAGCTGTGAGAATGCATCACGTTAAACAGCTCCTGCAATAAGGTGACGTCTGTTTCGCCCGTCTGAAACAGACGCCCGTCCGACTCGTTTGGACACCTCCAGATAGGGGCTGTGTCCGTTCCTGGCAGGCTTCTGTGGGAAAACAGAGCCCTGCAGCTAACCTGGGCCTTCTGAGCATGCGGAAGGAGCCAATTTTCAGATATCTCAAAGACTTATTATTATGATTTGAAACATTTATTCGCCACCTTTCCCCCTTGCGGCACTCAAGGCAGCTTACAACATAGATAAAACATTATAAAACACGTAATGAAAACAATTATAAAACCTGTAAAGGCCACGGATTAAAAACTCCCAATTAGGACTGCCAGTAATGAGAGCTAAATCAAAATACAGCCCTAAATAAAACTTTCTTCAGTTGCCTCCCAAAGATCAACAATGAGGGGGCCAGGTGCACCTCCCAAGGGAGGTTGTTCCATAATGATGGGGCCGCCACAGAAAAGGCTGTCTCTTATGTACCCACTGAATAACAACCTGCCGGTAGGCACCCCCACCCCCTGTACTATGTGGCCTTAGGTAAGGGAATTAGATTGCACTTGCAACCTGCCTGTAAACCGCTCTGAGACCTTCGGGTCTTTAATTGGTGGGACAGACAGGAGGACATCTCCTCGTGATCTTAATTCCCAGGCAGGAACAAATTGGAGAAGACCGTCCTCCAGGTGCCCTGGTTCCAAGTCAGGCAGCTTTAAGGGACAAAACCAGCAAATCGAATTGGGCTTGGGGTGGCTCGGTAGCCAGTGTAATTGCTGTAATATTGGGGACATACAGTCCCAATAGCTGGCCTTGACCAGCAGGCATGCTACACTAGCTGCAATTTCTGAACAGTCTTCAAGGGTAGCCCCAAGTAAAGCACATTGCAGTAGTCCGGTCTGGATGTAACAAAGGCGTGGATCACTGTGACTAGATCTGACTGATCCAGGAATGGATGTAGTCGACATACTGGCCGGGGCTGGGTAAATGCACTCTGAGGCACAGCAGCCCTCTGGTTTTCTTGTCCGCATCTTCCGCTTGTACTGTTGTGCGTGTCTCCCCCCCCCCCCCCCCCCCCGGCAACATCAACATGTACAGATTACCTTGCGTTTAATTACAGCTCGAAGAAGAAATAGTAAAGAAACAGCCATCGCTTTAGAGAAGTTATTGCCCAAACGATGCCAAGTCCTTGGATTGGTGACGCCTGGGACTGTAGGTAAGAACATGTCCTGACTTCAGCTGCGTCTTGGGGCTGTTCCTTCCCTTCTTTTATAGGAAGACAGAAATGTGTATGTGACTTAAATCTGGATGTCTTGCCGGTTAAGGAATGGTCCTCATTGAAATGAAGCTCCCGTAGAATTGTGTGGGGCCACCCAAGCTCGGTGTTCCAGAGCACTTGGGATGAACCAGCCCCTCCACATGGGGATCCGACCACTGTGGTTTACACCCCGATCATCGTCCATGCTCAGCGGCCCTGGCGCACACTCCCAACATGATTGCAGCCTCCAGTTTGGTTTCAGGCTGGGTATCCCAGTTAACGTTATGCAGGGCTCTTTTTGTAGAAAAAGCCCAGCAGGAGCTCATTAGCATAATAGGCCACGCCCAACACCAGAGACTCATTAGCATATTAGGCCACATCCCTGCCACCACGTCTCATTAGCACATTAGGCCACACCCCATGTTACCAGAAGTGTGCTTATCCAGCCACACCCACCTTTTGCTTGTTATTCTGTTTAACTTGTTTGTTGCCTTTTTTTGTAGCAGGAACTCCTTTGCATGTTAGGCCACACACCCCTAATGTAGCCAATCCTAATGGATTTCTGCTGTTGGGTGTGGCCTATTATGCTAATGAGTTCCTGCTGGGCGTGGCCAACTCGGGAGCCAGCCGGAACTCCGTTCCTGTACATTCCTGTCCCAAAATAGCCCTGACGTTATGACTGAACGCTTATTTTCACAACACCAGCCCCGGTGCAGAGCTCACAGAACCAAGGACAGAAATTGGGGAGGAACTGCATATACAAAACCCATTCGGAATAACCCCAGATACAAAGCATGCTTGTGGTTAGCCGCACTCCCGAGAATCTCTCTCTGCCTTTTCCAGACTGCTCTGGGAGACCCAGGTCCCAGGACCCACTCCCACTGGGTTACTTTGCTAACCAGGTGCAGAGAATCAGGCTTTCAAAGGCATATCAAGAAGTCAAGGTCGCTTCCTCCTCTGTTCTCTGTTGTGCTGCCACCTACAGTATGGGAGGCGGCCTCTGCCGCGTGCTCCAAATGCTACATAGCTCCCTTTGCTGAAGTCAGCGCAGCCCTTTCCGCATTTGCCCGCCACTCTGGATTTTCTCAGTGTTCGAGTCGAGGCAGTTTGAGTCCTCGGCAAAACGGCATCCAGATAACCCCGGGGGGCAACAGCGGGCTGAAACCGGGGCTGGCCACGGAAGGGGGGGGGAATGTGATGCAGAATTGGGGGGGGGATTTAAAAGAAGGTTGAATTCGATTTTAAAAGAAGGTTGAATTCGATTTCAGTGCAGAAGGGCTTGGAGGACACCGCGGTGAACGTGGATGAAAAGGAAAGTGCAGGAAAGGGGCCTGCCTGGGAGGCGCTGCCTTTGATCTGTCTGCTCTTTCTTTCCAAATGTGTCTGTCCCCGTGTGTGACGTGCCGTCAAGTGGCTTCTGCAGAATAATCACTCTATGATGTTTAGTCTTATTCTTTTTCCAATCTAGGCATCATGAGAAGAACATACAAGACGTCATGCAGATGAGGACGAACTTCCCCAGAGTAACCGTTTCGTTTCGATATTTCTTTTTCATACAAATATCAGTTCTGCTTCCACTTATTCATTCACCTTCCAAAAGGATATCTCTAATTCCTAGCAACTTTGGAATAGCTTATAACCGGCACATAGCCTATGTATCAAATCGGGCTGATCATGACGTCTAGATTGGAAAAAGAATAAGATTAAACATCATGGAGTGATTATTCTGCAGTGTATTTATATTGGTTGCACTGTTGCAGTATTTCTGTATGTAATACGATGGCCATACTGCTACCCCTCTGTGTTTGCTAACTGTCAAGTGGCTTCTGACATAGGGGGCCTCTGTGGACTCATGACCTACAAAACAGCCTCGCTCGGGTCTTGCAAACTGAAGGCCGTGGCTTCCTTGGTGGAGTCCGTCCATCTCGTGTTGGGCCTTCCTCTACGGTTTGCTGCAGCCTGTGAAATTTTTATTAGCTCATCTCCGAGATTTGAGTGTGGGTGTGGGTGTGTGTCATGAGACCCTGGGTCTGCGTAACCTCTCGTGTTCTGTGCTGATTGCTCTCTGGGCTTTTGGGCAGGGGTGCTCCCTAGCACAGCTAACTGAGACAGGAGAGGCCAGGGTTTAAACCCCGGAACTCTTGCTTGCAAGGCATCTGCTCCACAGACTGGTGTGAGTATGCACAAGAGTGTAAGATCAAATGGTTTTTCTTTAAAAATTTCTGCTGCCCAATTCTCGAAAACCTATCCTCAACAGGGTGGACTGGCGGAAGTTTTGTGTCATTTTGTTCTGCTAGCCAAAATGGGGACATTTTAAAAAATACCATTCACAACAAAGGAGGCGAGTTTTGAAGTAATTAAACAAACACAACAAAGCAACGGTGGCGGTTTTTGTTTTTTTGCATGCCAATACGGAGGGCCATGCTGGGAGCCCCAAAGGTCTTAAAATAAAGTTCACCTGTTAAACAGATTTCCCCTTTTCAGTCACCCCAACAGGATCTCGCAGCGGCCGGCCTCTGGAAGTTGAAGATGGTGAAGCGGGCTTTGCGTTATTGTTCCCCAAGATGGATGGAGTGAAGATTCAGACCTTCCACTTTTTTAAAGACCCGAAGTCCAAGGTCATTGATGAAAACCAGTTTGCTGAAGCAGGCGAGTAGAGTTAAAATGCCAGGGAAGTAGATGTTACGGTAGTGGATGAGGACCTTACCAAACTTGTGTTTGGTGTAGTGGTTAAGTGTGCGGACTCTAATCTGGGAGAACTGGGTTTGATTCCCCACTCCTCCACTTGCACCTGCTGATGTGACCTTGGGTCAGTCGCAAGCTCTGGCACAGCTGTCCTTGAAAAAGAGCAATTTGTGTCAGAGTTCTCTCAGCCCCACACACCTCACAGGGTGTCTGTTGTGGGGAGGGGAAGGGGAAGGAGTTTGTAAGCCGCTCTGAGACCCCTCTGGGTAGTGAAGGGCGGGGTATAAATCCAATCTCCTCTTCTTCTTCTTTTAAGCCGTGTGTATGTAGAAAATTCATTTGACCCCCCACCATTCACTCGGACAGCACCCAAAGTGGCTGATATAATTCTTCTCTCCTCCATTTTATCCTCACAACTACCCTCTGAAATAGATTAGGCTAAGAGAGTGTGGCTGGCCCAGGTTGCCCAGTGAGCTCCCGTGGCACAAGTGGGGATTCGAACCCAGGTCTCCCAGGTACTAATCCAACACTGCACCACCCTGGCGCTTGCACACTCTTTCTCTTTTTATATTTGTTGTGTGTGTGTGTGTGTGTGTGTGTGTGTATGGGTATATGTATATATGTGAGACAGGATGCTGGACGACGTGGACCACTGGTCTGATCCAGCAGGGCTCTTCTGATGTTCTTATGAAGGCCTCAGCCTCTCTGCCCTCTTGCTGGCCCTCCAGTAGAACTGGTTGGCCACTGTGTGAGACGGGATACTGGGCTAGATGGACCGCTGGTCTGATCCAGAAGGGCTCGTCTGATGTTCTTAGGAAGGCCTCACAGCCTCTATGCCCTGTTGTTGATATTCCTGAGGAACTGGTTGGCCACTCTGTGAGACGGGATGCTGGACTAGATGGACCACTGGTCTTACCCAGCTGGGCTCTTCTGATGTTCTAATGAAGGCCTCGGCCTCTGTGCCCTGTTGTTGGCCCTCCGGAGGAACTGGTTGGCCGCTGTGTGAGACAGGAGGCTGGACTAGGTGGACCCTCACTGGTCTGATCGAGCAGGGCTCTTCTGATGGTCTTATCAGGGAAGGCGTTGGCCTCTATGCCCTGTTGTTGCCCCTCCAGAGGAACTGGTTGGCCGCTGTGTGAGACAGGAGGCTGGACTAGGTGGACCCTCACTGGTCTGATCGAGCAGGGCTCTTCTGATGGTCTTATCTACCCCGAGGTGTGATCTGGCAGAAGGCCGTTCCTATCACGTCATATCTTTCTGTCCCTGAGTCTGAACGTGTGTCAGGAGAAAGAAAACACTTTTCAAGGTTTCATTTCTAAGCCTTTCCGTGTGTGTCCGTGGTGTGTGTTGTGGCTTGGCTTGGGGGAATGCGGAGCCCAAGCAGACTCAGCAAGCCAGAGGCTGCCATGACGGGAGTGGTCCCCCGGCACCCTTTTACGTTTCCCCATAGAAGGCTGCCTGCATCAAGCAAGTTTAAAGGCATCTGTCGCGCTCTGCCTCACGGATGCTTCGCAGCAAACCCCCGTGTGTGTGTGTGTGTTGCTGCCTGATATCTAAAACAGCCCAACGCAAGCGCTCAGAGATAGGATTGAAAGAACTGGCTTCCTTTTGCTTAAGGAAAAGAAGGCAAAGGAGCGGTTCCCAGAAACCTCTCGGGGCGTTTTCCCTCGGCGGCTGCTGATAGGATGGGAAGAGAAATGCTCTTCTTTTCCCCCAGAGGTCGATTCAAGAGAAGTGTCCTTTTCACAAGAGCAGTTCCCAACATCGGGAACAGCTGCCAATTCCTTCATAGTTTTGGGTTTCTTTTCCCCCCACGAGCAAGATCGGCAAGGCGCTTGTCGGGGATCCTCTGGGCACAGGGCGGTCCAGCCTTGAGAGGGGGAAGTCGGGTGAGACACTGCTTCGGAGCCCCTTCTGGGCTGTGTCTGGCTCTATGCTGCCGGGCCTCCTCTGCCAGGACCTGTATGGGAGTCCGATTACGCTCGGAGAAATGCTTTATAATCAGTCTCCAAGGACCCGTGACTCGGCATTGTTCTGTTAGCCCCCCTTCCCTGCAACTCTTCATCCCACAAGAGGTTACTGCGATATCATTTCTGTCCCTGCATTTTTTCAGGGGGTCAAGGTTATTCCAGAACCTTAGGGGCAATCTACGTAGAACGCCCAGATGTTTTGTTCAAAATATTGTTTCTCCTAACTTCCATCTGTTTTTGTCTTTAAAAAGAGAGAGAGAGAGAGACAGGAGAATGCCGGTGTGGTGTAGTAGTTAAGAGCAGCAGGACTCTAATCTGGAGAACCAGCTTTAATTCCCCACCCCTCCTCCCCATGAAGCCTGCCGGGTGACCTTGGGCCAGTCACAGTTCTCTTCAAATTCTCTCAGCCCCACCTCCCTTACAAGATGCCTGTTCTGAGGAGAGGAAGGGAATGCTGATTGTAAGCTGCTTTGAGACTCCTTATGGTAGAGAAAAGCAGGGTAGAAAAACCTAGTTTTCTCCTTTAAAAAAAAACAAGAGTCTCTTCCATTGCCCATTCCTTCTCCCCCCTTGGGGGGAGCCAGTTTGGTGTCGTGGTTAAGTGCGCGGACTCTAATCTGGGAGAACCTGGTTTGATTCCCCACTCCTCCACTCGCACCTGGCCGGATGACCTCGGGCAAGCCGTAGCTCTGATAAGAGCTGTTCTTGAAAAAGAGCCGTTTCTGTCAAGAGCTCTCTCAGCCCCACCCACCTCACAGGGTGTCTGTTGTGGGGAGGGGAAGGGAGAGGAGTTTGTAAGCCGCTCTGAGACACCATTGGGTAGTGAAGGGCGGGGTATAAATCCAATCTCCTCCTCTTCCTCTTCTTCTCTTGGTGAAGACGCAATGGAAATGAAGGTGTAACAGGTTTGTTTTCCAACTTGGGGCATCTACCCCGTGAAGAGTAACTAGTCCAGCTTGTTTTTCTGGGTCCTTTTTGACTTGGGGAGGCATTTTCGGAGCCTCCCTCCCGGCTCTGTGTACCTGAGGTGCTCCGGGAGAGTGTTTTTTACCTGACCACAGAGGAAGCTGCCCATCTGCTGTACTAGCAGCTTTCATGCATTCCGGCATGTAAAATATTAACAACTGGTCGGTTTTGCCAAGTGCAGCATAAGACAGAACGTGCCGTTACAGGCTGTGATGCTCAGCTCAATATCTCCTTGTCCAGATCTCCTGGTGGTGTGGTAGGGGTCCTGAATTGCCCCGCCTGGCTGCTGAAGTTAACTAAAAGTGAACCAATTGAAGTTTCAACCCTGAAGAGGCAGAGGCAGTGCTGGTTGGGGAAGTCGAGGTCTTGAAGGACATTGCTCTCCTCACTTAAGACAGGGAGTTCGGCTGCCTTGTGCAGGCTCAGTAAAAAGCCTCGGGGTCATACAGGATCCAGCTTTTATTACTAGAGAAGGACGTTGATGCAACAAAGGCTTTCTGCCAACACAGCCTAGCCCCTAAGACGGCCCCGTACATTGATACGGCTGACCTGGCCCCCTGGATAAGAACATAAGAGACGCCAATGTTGGATCAGGCCAAAGGCCCGTCCAGTCCAACACTCTGTGTCACACAGTGGCCAGAAATACCAGGTGCCATCAGGAGGTCCACCAGTGGGGCCATTAGGAGGTCCACATTAGAAGCCCTCCCACTGTTGACTCCCCCCCCAAGCACCAAGAAGACAGAGCATCACTTGCCACGGAGCCCCTATCTATACCTTGTGGCTAACAGCCACTGATGGACCTCTGCTCCATATGCTTATCTAATTCCCTTTTGAAGCCGTCCATGCTTCAAAAGGGAATTAGATCTGTGCCACAACAACATTGAGATGAGACTGCTACAGTGTTCCCTCTAAGCTGAGTTAGTGTGAGCTAGCTCCCAGTTTTTTAGCCTCCGGCTCACACATTTTTGTCTTAGCTCAGGAAGGAGGGCTCCAGAGCAAACTAATTTAGGCAGCAGCCCAGTCGCCCGCTCACAACTTTAATGCCAGTCGCTCACAAAGTAGAATTTTTTGCTCACAAGACTCCACAGCTTATTGGGAGCATTGGACTGCTGTAATGCACTGTTCATTGGCCTCCCCTCAAAATCAATTCAGAGACTCCAGCTGGTCCAGAATGCCAAGGCTTGGCTATTAACGGGAGCTAGACGAAGCGTGTCTATGACTCCCATTCCGCAGACGCTCCATCGCCTGCCCATTTGTTACTGGGCTCAGTCCAAGGTATTGGCTGTCATGTATAATGTCCCGCGTGGCCTTGATCCTACTTATTTACCGGACTGCCGCTTCCCCTGAGCTCTGCTGCGACAATTTTGCTCATTATCAGCAGGGGCTCCTTCAGGTGCCAGCCTGTAGATGGGCAGAATGAACGGCTTCCTGCACACGTGCTTTTTTCCATTGTTGCTCCCACCTTGTGGAAAGCTCCCGCTCTCCTGGCCTTCCACAAATTATGCAAAACTGAACTATTCAGGAGGGCTTTTCTGTGCAGGGAACAGGGTTTCCACTGTAGAAAATGGTTCACAGACATACTTGGATAAAGGATTAGAGATGGTGGCCTGTACTGCTATGTATAGCATGTTTGGTGTAGTGGTTAAGTGTGCGGACTCTAATCTGGGAGAACCGGGTTTGATTCCCCACTCCTCCGCATGCAGCTGCTGGTGTGACCGTGGGTCAGTCACAAGCAGTGTTCCCTCTAAGCTGAGTTAGTGTGAGCTAGCTCACAGTTTTTTTAGCCTCCGGCTCACACGTTTTTGTCTTAGCTCAGGAAGGAGGGCTCCAGAGCAAACCAATTTATGCAGTAGCCAAATCGCTCGCTCACATCTTTAATGCCAGTAGCTCATAAAGTAGAATTTTTGCTCACAAGACTCCACAGCTTAGAGGGAGCATTGGTCACAAGTTCTCTCGGAGCTGTTCTCTCAAGAGCAGTTCTCAAAAGAGCTCTCTCAGCCCCACCTACCTCACAGGGTGTCTGTTGTGGGAAGGGGAAGGGAAAGGAGATTGTAAACCGCTCTGAGACTTCGAGTGAGGGGCAGGGTAGAAAGAAGAAGAAGAGATTGGGTTTATACCCCGCCCTTCACTGCCCAAAGAAGTCTCAGAGCGGCTTGCAATCTCCTTTCCCTTCCCTTCCCCACAACAGACACCCTGTAAGGTGGGTGGGGCTGAGAGAGCTCTGACAGAAACTGCTCTTTTTCAAGGACAGCTCTCACAAAACTATGGCTTGCCCAAGGTCATCCAGCCAGGTGCAAGTGGAGGAGTTGGGGAATCAAACCCGGTTCTCCCAGATTAGAGTCCACGCACTTAACCACTACACCAAACTGGCTCGAAGAAGAAATCCAATCTTTTCTTCTTCTGTAGCTTATAGTAAGTAGGTTCCTATTATGTAATTTTTGTACCACTTAATGTGTCACATTAATATTTACACAATGCTGCTTTTTCCTTTCTAGTGGTCCAGGCTTCTAATATCCTAATGCGTTGGTTATCGAATGTCCCATTTCGTTCATCGTACCGACTCACTCTGTGTAATCTGCTTTAGGTGCCTGTGAGAAGGGCAAACTATCGACAACGTAAATAAATTAAACGAATGTGTGAAGCCTCTAGTGGCGTAGGCTCCCAAGGTCAGGCAGGGCTTAGGGGCCGCCATAACAGTGCTGAGTCTTTGAAGAGGCTTTCTGCTTTGTGTTGCCTGTTCCCTCATGCCTGGGGGTGGGGGGGCAGCAAAGGCAGGGTATAATCTAAACCCAGAATATATATGCTGGTGTAGTCCATCCAAGGCCCGAGTTAGAATTTCTGAGACCATCTTGTTATTCCGGCTAAAAGGCAGCAGTACACGAGTTAACTCTCCCCCCCCCCCTTTCTGATCAGGTCTGAAGAACAACCCAGATCTCAGAGTGGTCCTTCTGTTTGGATACAACACCTGGAAGTCGGGAGCCACGCGGTTTCTGCACCAGATAGTCAACCGCTTGAATGAAAAAAGTATCATCTTGGCTGGGGGACACGTGGATAGCTTTACATCTCTGACTTCGGAGAAGTGGGTATCTTTTGAAAGGGGTGTGTGATCTCCTTTCTAAATGTATCAAGCTTGTCTTGTGTTCTTATGACTTGCCACTGCGTTTGGGAGACCCCATCCAGCGTCGTCGTTTAGGGTTGTTTCTGGTGCTGTCGGGCAGATCCTCTGGAGAGGTGGTGTGTAAGTTTTCTAAATAATACAACAAAACCTAGGCTATTAATTGTTGTGGGTTTTCCAGGCTGTGTGGCCGTGGTCTTGGCATTGTAGGACTGGACGTTTCGTCAGCAGCTGTGGCTGGCATCCTCAGAGGTATAACACAGAAAGAGGGAGTACTCTCTGTATCAAGGTGAGAAGAAAACTGGTAGGCAGGTAATTGATATCTTGTATGAGTTCCCTAGGCTGTTAACATGCTAATGGAGGAGCTTTCCTGAGGAGGTTCTTTTGCATATGGATTGGCTGTTGAAATTCTACTCTTATCTAATCTTATCTCTTCTTTCCTGTTGAAATTGTGTTTTTGTTTATGAATTTCAATGGCTTCCCTGTGTAATCTGACGTGGTCATTGGATGTGTTGTCCAGCCTTTCAGTGTCTTGGAACCTTCCTGAGTAGATATAAATTACCTGCCTACCAGTTTTCTCACCTTGACACATGGAGGAATTTCAGACAGACGATATAATCCGGAAGAGGAACGGTTCCCAAACGGTTTCTGGTCTGTAATTTCAGACAGAACCATTTTAGAACCAGTTCCCTACCGGAATATATTTGTAATTTCAGACACAAACACTTCTGTCCTATTTAGGAAACGGGGCTGAAGCGTTTTACCTGTCAACCGCTTCCAATTAGTCTTCAGTTTCCTTTCCCGGTTCCGATGCACTTTTTCCCGCCGTTTTTCACCCGCGTGGGCGATCTCTGACTTGGTTTTTTACGTTCGCGTTATAGCGCTATAGCACAGGCATTATAGCGCTATAATGCAACAGCATTTCAACCCCATTGAAATGCCTGGAGTGTTTTGCTATAGTGCTATAGTGCTATAAAGCGAATGTTCAAAAAAAAAAACTGGAGATCGCCCGCATGGGAAAAAACGGCAGGGAAAAAGTGGGGGAAAGCAGTGCAGTCTGAAATGGCAAACCGCTTCAGATCCAGCTCTTTACCAGAAGGGGAAAGCCGTGTGTGAAATGGCAGCCCTATACCGGTTTACTCCATGACAGATCAAAAATGGCTTCAAAAGGGTAATGTGAAATTCCTCAGAGAGTAGAAGAGGATTTATACCCCGCCCTTCACTACCCAAAGGAGTCTCAGAGCGGCTTACAAACTCCTTTCCCTTCCCCTCCCCACAACAGACACCGTGTGAGGTAGGTGGGGCTGAGAGAGCTCTTGACAGAAACTGCTCTTTTTCAAGAACAGCTCTTATCAGAACTACGGCTTGCCCAAGGTCATCCAGCAGGTGCAAATGGAGGAGTGGGGAATCAAACCCGGTTCTCCCAGATTAGAGTCCGTGTACTTAACCACTATACCAAACTGGCGCTCCATCTTTGTGTTATACCTCTGAGGATGCCAGTCACAGCTGCTGGGAAAACGTCAGGTCCTCCAGTGCCAAGACCACGGCCACACAGCCCAGAAAACCCACAACAACTAATGAACTCCGGCCGTGAAAGCCTTCGACAACACATTAAAACCTAGGCTGCTTACGTTGCATTAGTGGCCTGGTTGGAGCTTTCTAGCCATTAGGGACTTGTGTATTTTTTGGCCGGCCTGGGTATGGCACCTGACCTCTGGACTATTTCCTCCTCCAGTCGGTGTTGGGCATATCAAGCAGCCGTTTTCCTCCTTCCCTTTTGGTCTCATGTATCCGTGCCAGGTGCATGGATTCCCCAAAGTCTGATGGCGTGGTAATGAAGGCTAGCTGAGTTCTGGGTGGCTTCCAGTCCCTTGAGCCCTGTGAGCACTGCTTTCAGAACGACATGTCCCTTCTATGAGAAGGCCCTGACCCTATATAGTTACTCTAGGCAGAGTGCAGCAGGGGAAAGGGAGGTGTCATTTCAGGTGAATTATTGTTAAGTCAGAACTTTATCGCAAAGTGACATGATCGTGAGGCTGTTCTTCCACTGCCTTATTTTCCCTTGCTGCCCTGGTGAAGTTTCTGCAGAAGAGGTTGGGGTGTGCACTCAGTAGCCAGTTTGATGTAGTGGTTAAGAGCAGTGAACTCTTAATCTGGAGAACTGGGTTTGATTCCCCCACTCCTCCACATGCAGCCAGCTGGGTGATCTTGGGTAAGTCACAGTTCTTTCAGAGCTGTTCTCTCAGAGCTCTCTCAGCCCCACCTATCTGTCTGTTGTGGGGAGAGGAGGGGAAGAAGAAGAAGAGAAGGGATTGGATTTATATACCGCCCTTCACTCAGAGTATCAGAGCGGCTCACAAACTCCTTTCCCTTCCCCTCCCCACAACAGACACCCTGTGAGGTAGGTGGGGCTGAGGACTGCTCTTTTCAAGGACTGCTCTTGAGAGAACAGTTCTGACAGAACTATGGCTTGCCCAAGGTCATCCAGCAGCTGCAACTGGAGGAGTGGGGAATCAAACCCGGTTCTCCCAGATTAGAATCTGTGCACTTAACCACTACACCAAATTGGCTGAAGGAGATTGTAAGCTGCTTTGAGACTCCAAGTGAAGGGCAGGGTATAAATCCAACTCTTTTTCTTCTATATCGGTATTTTTTTGGATGTTTATTCAGCTGAATACAGATTAGACAATTTGATTCAGCTACCGAAATAGCCATGCCTGGATAAAAGCGGATATTATTCAGCTTTTTATTTGGGCACGGCTAGAAGGTATTTATAGAGACCGCTGGGATTGCTCCAGTGCTGGACTCGGTGGGGCCCAATCAATCCATGGGGAATAGCGCTCACGGTTCTGTAATAAAGTCCCGCGTGCATGTTTCTGTGGGTTAATAGTAATCCATATTACTTTTCTTGCTTTGTAGAATGGATGTAGTTTTGTTGGTGCTGTTGTCTGCTGGTGGGGGAAAAAACCTTTCCAACATGGGGCTTCTCTTACCCCTCTCTCTTTCAGTAACAGTCAGCCTTCCGAATCCTGTGGCGTTGTCGGCTTGACATTTAGCGGACCCCAGATCCAGAGTGCCACCGTTCTGTTAGATCAGGATGTAGTCGACGAGAAGACAGCGGAAGCGGCAATGCAGCGCCTCAAGGCAGCAAGCATCCCTGAACACAACACCATCGGCTTCATGTTCGCCTGTGTCGGCCGGGGATACCAACATTACAAAACCAAGCGGAACCTTGAAGCAGACGCCTTCCGCAAGTTTTTCCCCAGCATTCCACTCTTCGGCTTTTTTGGACACGGGGAAATCGGATGCGACCGAATTGTGACTGGGAATTTTATACTCCGGGAATGTAATAATAACATCAAAGATGACCTGCTGCATGGTTACACCACTGTGATGACCCTCATCCACCTGGGCTGAGCCAAAACAAACCAAGCTTAAGCCTCTCGTGGTCGGTGTGCCAGCGGAGTCACAGAGCAGCTTCCCATTCCAGAAGCGTTTAAAAAACAAAACAAAAAAAACTAGGACAGTGTACACAGTTGCCTCCTGAGAGACAAAAGTGACCATTGTCCTGTTGGTTTCGTGCTTTCTAGCCGGTGTAAAAATTAGCTTAGGTGAATGAGGGCTTCTTTTCCCACCGCATACAATTTTAAAATTGCAAATGTGTCTGTTCTGTAGTAAAATTTTTATTTCATCCCCCCCCCCCCCCCCCCCCCCCCCGGTTGGACAGAACAGCGCTCAGACTTGTTCAGGGACTCGTCAGGGACTACATCCGGGTGGGACTGAAATATCAGTATTGCCGCATGGGATTTGTGGACTGACTTCCCCATACTGACCAAGTTTGGCGTTGAATGCCTTGTGCACTTGGTTGCAGCACATGGGACGCTCTCCTTTTGGGATGTAAATCTGCATATCTGAATCAGGCCCTCTTATTAAATCAGTTGTTCGCGAGGTCAGACGGCTGATATCCACGGGTGGGTGGCCGAATTAAAATATGGTGTACTTTTTTTTCTTAGAGCTTTATGCTGTGTACTTAGGAGAGAATAAAGGCAGTCTGTAGGGTTCTTCAGAAAACGTTGTGGATTGGAAAGGGCCCTTGGCTAAATTGGACTTTATCTTAAATTGCCGTGGCTGCCCGGCTTCCCTGTCCTCCTCTGATCAGAATATTTTCTTTTCCACCTGATTTGCTCACTACTTCAGCCGCTGATGTTTAGGGTCACCTTTAGAAAACAGGAAAAGGTCTAATGCGAGCAAGATTCTGAGTGAAGGGGTGCGTTCACTGGAAATGCTTTTTGCTAGCCTGAGCATAAACAGCAGCAGCAGCAGCAAAAAAAAAAAAAGAGCACGGTTTGTGTCTGCAGGAAGGGGCGTGGTCGCTGGATGAAGCAGAAGGTGTGAGAGATTATCTGTCCGGCTAACGCAGTATCGCTGTATGACCAAAACATGGTTTTGCTGTTCAGTAAAATAATTGTGCAACTGCAGTATCAATAAGGCAGTGTTTTTGTGTTTCTCCTTTCCACGTGACGTTAGATGGTATCTGCTGCCGGGTGTTTGTATTCTGGAGTCGTTGCAGGAGGGAGATTTCAAACCAGCAGTCCGTTGGGGAAAATCTGACACGTCATGCAATAGGATTGCTGTGGGACAAGTCTGGTGACACACTGACATCAGGGAACTAAGGGAAACCTGGCCCCTGGTGGCCACTTGGCCTGGGGGCAGAATTCTAGAAGCTCCTCGGTTTAGAAATCCTTTTTACCGGTTTCTCTTCTCCTGTACTGCTACATCAATCTGACTACAATATTTTACAGGCAGAGTGCACACCCTTGAAATGAAAAAAAAGAAATAAAGGGGGGGGGGAGCATGTAAAGCGTTGGGGACATTGCTGAAGATGGAAAGCCAGCTTTGGCCTCTTTTTGTTCATTTAGAAGAAGAGGAGATTGGATTTATCCCCCGCCCTTCACTACCCAAAGGAGTCTCAGAGCAGCTTACAAACTCCTTTCCCTTCCCCTCCCCACAACAGGCACCCTGTGAGGTAGGTGGGGCTGAGAGAGCTCTTGACAGAAACTGCTCTTTTTTCAAGGACAGCTCTTATCCGAACTACGGCTTGCCCAAGGTCATCCAGCCAGGTGCAAGTGGAGGAGTGGGGAATCAAACCCGGTTCTCCCAGATTAGAGTCTGCACACTTAACCACTATACGAGACTGGCTCTCAGTGAGTTTTAAAAAGCTCAGTGAGTTTTCTTTGGGTCCCAGTGGCCAGCAAAGAAAAACTTGGGCTTCTAAAGTCTTTGTTTGAAATCACAAAACGGTGTCAGTATGGAAAAGGCAAGGGTTGTGCTCCTAACGATGCTGTTTGCGGTAGGCAACACACACTACAACATCCAATGATGCACACGCTGCCAACAGCTGAGATATTATCTATGGGGAGAATTGCAGTTTTTCTTCCAGCAACAGATGGCTGAGATTTGAGTGCTGAAGAAAACATCATTTCCACTCCAAAAGAAGCTCTACTTGGGGAAGGATGTCAAGATCCCGACAACAAATAGGTAAAGCAGAACAGCTCTTATATGGGGAGCTGGGGGTGGGTGGGTGTCAATAGGTGTGCAATTGGAACAATTAATTGAAAATGCAAACCTGGCACAGTCGTGAGGCTTACAGTGGTGCAGGTTTACCACTCAACCCATGTTCACAAGATTGCCATTTGAGTCATTTTGGACAGCTGGGTGTGTGTGTGCGCGCAGTAGTAATAGATTTAAGCATTTGATCCATCAAACAAGCCCCCCTGCAATGACTGAGATATGTGAAAAGGCTCTGAATGAGTCCACCTGAATTGTAAGGATTTCTTTTGGTGTCATGGTACGTAGAGCAAGAAGGCGATGCATGGATGAAGTTAACGTGGTATTCTCTTATGTTCTCCAAGCCCTGGTGCTTAGATCTGTCCAGGTCGTAATATTGGAGCATAGAACCAGTTTGTGCAGATAAGGCTGCCTTGGGACACAGTTAGGGGGGTTAAACAAAACCATGACAGCCTCAGGATCTGCGGCTGATGCTCAATGTAGATGGATGGAAGAAGCCACATGTTCTGCTTCGTCAGACTCATTGAACTGGGTTCTGTCATTTATGGGCTCTTGTGCTCTCTGAAAGAAGCTGCCTCAGGTATTCTGAAGCCCTGGTCCAGGGATAGCTACCTTTAAGGCCTTCAGCGACTGCACGGCAGTGTGTTGGAAGGCAAAGCGGCTGTAACTAGGAAAAATATAAGAGGGTGTTCCTTCGACTGGAGAAATGCCAAATTCTAAGAGGGAGGCAGCAGTAAACTGTTGGAGCAAAAACTTTCCTGGCCCTTGAGCCTACTGTGTCCGATCCAATCTTGTATACTTTGGGGCTCTGCAGAACTGCTGCTGCCTCTTGCGTTTCACGGCCCTTGGTGCGGCACCACTGCTTACAGCTTCCTCTGGACTGTCTGCCAGCAGAGGATAAACGCGTCTTATAAACTGGGCTTTGTTGGCCCACAAAAACTTCTGCCCCAGTCAGTGGGTGCTGCTACGACAACTGATTTTGAACCCACCCCCCTCCCCACCTGCATAGGCTTTGTTTGAATTTTAACCCTGGGTGAGGCTTTATGAGCTGAGAACGTTTACTCATTTCATACTGTCCTACTCGGTGTGTTTTGAAACCTCCATTCCTGCCCTTTCAAAATAAACACGATAAGGAAGTTTCCCAAGCAGCTATCAAAATGTGATGTGTTGGATGGTGTAAAACAACTTTATTATCCTTAGCCTTTATTTTATCCTGCATCTTCTGGGTTTTTTTTTTTTTTAAAGTGGCAGATAAGAAAATGTGTTGTCCTTTCTGAAGAAGAAGAAGAGATTGGATTTATACCCCGCCCTTCACTCAAAGTCTCAGAGTGGCTCACAGGCTCCTTTCCCTTCCCCTTCCCACAACCCTGTGAGGAAGGTGGGGCTGAGACAGCTCTTTTGAGAACTGTCCTTGAGAGAACAGCTCTGACCAGAACTATGGCTTGCCCAAGGTCATCCAGCAGCTCCAACTGGAGGAGTGGGGAATCAACCCGGTTCTCCCAGATTAGAATCTGAACACTTAACCACACTTAACTACTACACCAAACTGGCTAAGCTCTGTAGAAAGAAACAGCTGTATTTTCTAGCAGGAGAAGAAATGTTGCTCTGCTTCTTAATGTGGACCTGGGTTGCCCTCTTCTGGGTCCTCAACAGCCGTTTGACAGGGAGACATTCAAAGGGACAGTTTTTCTGAGCATGTGGATTGCAGTGATGGAAAAACCTTGGCCTCTAAATTCATTTCTGTATTGTGCAGCTTTTAAAGCTATGCGTCTCGCCAGGGGAACAGCTAACAATACTACTCTGGCTGGCCGGAAGCAGCTTTTTCGGCTGTGCAGTTCTTAGCAGCTTTTCTGCATCAGGGATATAAAGCAGTTTGATTCTAAAATTAATGTTTACCCAAACGAAGGGGGGAGTGCAGAAGACAATACCTTCTTTAATAATTTAAAGGAAAGAGCAGCATGGGCATTTCCAGGTCAGGTGGACTTGCAGATGTGCAGAAGTACAGAATGATCCCCCAAAATTAGGTACATTTTTCCTGCTCTTGATTATTTTGTCTCCTAGTCTGACATTTGCTGATATAATGTGAAACAATGTTTGTAACCTTTTTGAGAGATGCTGAATAGATCTTTGACGAGAGAAGGACAAGTTTTATTCACAAAATGGAACTTTGGATGGATTGACATTGGCTTGACCACTGAATTTCTTGAAGTCCTCTGGCCATCTGACAGGTATCTGATTAGTTCAAACAAAACTGGACAAATAGATAAGTCTATGTACATCGTGAAGGCTCTGAGAGTCTTTTACGGCTTCTAGCTTGTGGAAACTCGTATAAGATCCATTCTAATTTGTTTTCTAAGCCTGCCCTCCGACATAACAGTCAATTCCACACAGTCAAAGGCCTTCTTATTTGCCCTGTCTGGGGAAAATAATACATCTCATTTGCACCTTGATAAAAACAAACAGGTAAAACACAGTGAAATTTCAATATTACCAGAGATCTTTTCTCTTTTCTCTTATTTTAACAACTGCAGCTAAAATTGGTTGTAACTGATGTCTGAGTGCCTTCACATACCTCTGGCATTCTAGGTGTGGCAACTGTGCTAACGTAAGCAATGTACGTTTATGCTTGTATATTTGGTCCTGTAAAAAATGAGCAACATGGTCTTCTTTTGCAGACTCTGGGAACAGGGTTATGGTTTCCTGCAAATTATATAAAAGAAAACAGTTAAATAAGAACATAAACAAACTGCTGAAATAGCATACAGTCCAATTAGCAAGTGGGGTGGGGCTTGTTCCTTCCAAAAGAATCAATTTTTAAAGGGGGATTTGGCTAGTGTGAGCACTCTGTACTATTGCTCAGCAAAAAGTGACTCTTTAGAACAATGCATATAGTGAATTTTCATAGTTAGGGTTAAGAACATGAGAGAAGCCATGTTGGATCAGACCAGTGGCCCAACCAGTCCAACACTGTGTCACACAGTGGCCAAATACCAAGTTCTATCAGGAGGTCCACCAGCAGGGCCAGAACTCCTTAAGCCCTCCCACTGTGGCCCCCCCAAGCACCAAGAATACAGAGCATCACTGCCCTAGACAGAATGTTCCATCTATACCTTGTGGCTCATAGCCATTGATGGACCTCTGCTCCATCTGTTTATCCAGTCCCCTCTTGAAGTTGGCTGTGCTTATACCCGCCACCACTTCCAGCGGCAGTGAAATCCATGTGTTCGTTACTCTTTGGGTAAAGAAGTACTGGGGTTTTTTTTTGTGGACTACCTCTTAACATTTTTAGCTACATGGATACGAACTGTCCCTCCCCCACATATGCACCCCAAACAACATGTCCTCTAGCACCCTCATGTTCTTCCATAGTTTTCCTTTCATCTAACTCATTACACTTAAGTATTACACCCAGAAGCCAAAATTGTGTTCTCTGTTTCTTTTCCCTGTTGATTCTAGCCACTGTATCAGTGATGCTTTCCTTCAGCACTTTGTTACAAGCTTGATGTAGAGTAGCAAAGAATTTGATATTTCTGTTACTGCCGAAATAATCCTCCCCCCCCCCCTCAGAACTTTTAGTTACTTAAGTTCTCTCAAGGAGTAGACTTTTCAGTTTCTCATCTTCTAGCCATCTTACTGCTTTTATTACTTTTGTGTCATCGTGACAGATATGTTGCTCGGCGGTATGCTTTCTCTTTTCTTTGTAAATTCCAAAAGTACAATCGGAGGAACGAGGAAACCCCCTTTCTTTGATGGGATTCAGATTCCCGCCCCCATTCTCGACTCTGGTGATAATGCTAGCATGTTAAATGCTCTGCAGCAATAAGGTTTTCTGGGAAGGGAGGGGGGGATTGTCAACAGGAAGAATGGAATTGAGAAAAGGTCCTTTGCCCAATATTAGAGATAAACACCTAAGATAATGTAATGTCTCTGCCTGAACATGCTCTTTTTGTAATTCAGAGATTTCTCATTTTCAGGTACAGTCACATGGAAATTGTTTCAATGTTCTGTTACTTGCTGATGAAACTTCTCCCGCATCCAGGGGAAGCATGAATTCAGATTTCTTTTTTCTCTTTTTTTTTTTTTTTTTTTTTGGGGGGGGGGGGTTGAACACACATGCATCCAGAAGCTATGACAATGCTTGCTATATGGGATGTTTAAAAAAAGATTAGAAAGAATCAGAGAAAATTCACTGGTAAGAGGTACAAACTGGAGAGCCAGTTTGGTGGTGTGGTTAGGAGCACTCCTCCACATGCAGCTGCTGGTGTGACCTTGGGTCAGTCACAAGTTCTTTCGGGGCTGTTCTCTCAAGGGCAGTTTTCGAAAGCACTCTCTCAGCCCCGCCTACCTCACAGGGTGTGGGGAGGGGAAGGGGAAGGAGATTGTAAGCTGCTCTGAGACTCCTTCAGGTGGTGAAGGGTGGGGTATAAAACCAATCCTTCTATATATTTGCATCTAACACCTTATCCTCCATTGGAGCAACAGCTACTTCACTAGCTCTTTAAGTTCTACAGAGTTTGGGGAGAGGCTGTGTCTCGGGTAGAACCGCTGCTTGACATGCTGAAGTGTCCCAGGTTCAATCCCTGGCTTCTCCAGTTAAAGGACCAGGCAGGAGGTGATGGGAAAGACCTCTGCCTGAGACCCGGGAGAGCCACCACCAGTCAGAGTGGGTAATACTGACCTGGATAGACCAAGCGTCTGATTCTGCATAGGACAGTTTCATGTATGTATGTGCAACATTTTTTTGCTGCATGGAATACATCTCTTTGTCTTAAATATCTTCTCTGTTCAACCCTCTTACCATATTCTCCAACGTGGTATTAGCTTCTCTAGCCCCGCTTCGATTGCTGCTTTCCCATTGTCTCTTGCTTTGATTCCTTTATTCCTTTATCTCTGAAATAAGGAGAAGAAGAGGAGATTGGATTTATACCCCGCCCTTCACTCAGAGTCTCAGAGCGGCTTACAAACTCCTTTCCCTTCCGCTCCCCACAACAGACACCCTGTGAGGTAGGTGGGGCTGAGAGAGCTCTGACAGAAACTGCTCTTTTTCAAGGACAGCTCTTATCAGAACTACGGCTTGCCCAAGGTCACCCAGCCAGGTGCAAGTGGAGGAGTGGGGAATCAAACCCGGTTCTCCCAGATTAGAGTCCACGGACTTCACCACGACACCAACCTGGCTCTAAATGTGAACAAAATCTTATCCTTTCACCCAGAACCTCACACACACATACACACCACCCAGCCCTTCTCCCTTGTTATCACATTCGCAGTGTACTTACTGTTGCAACCATTGCTGCCGCTTGCCTCAATCAGGTTGTCTCCACGCTCTATGGAACTGGCCCGCGGAATATGGCCCTTCCTAGCAAGAAGGTGATTATGACAAGGGGGGGGGGGGGAGAGAAGGTGTATGTTTGTTGCTACCACTTAAACATTCTCATCTCATGTTCTTTATCCTGCCCTGTCTCAAAGGACCTCAGGGCAGCATGCGCAGTTCTCTTCTCCCTGTTTTCTCCTCACAACAACCTTCTGAGGTAGGTTAAACCAAGGATGGGTGAGCTGATGTCAGTGGAGATTAGGACTGCAATCTCCAGATTGGAAAAGTCATGGAGACTGGGGGGGGGGAAGGGGGGAGCGGCCTGCAGAGGGCAGGGTTTGGGGAGGAGAAGTACCTCCGAGGGATACGATGCCGTAGAGTCCTGCCCTCCAAAGCAGCTGTTCTCCCCAGAGGAATTGATCTCTGTAGTCTGCAAGTCCGTGAGATCTCCAGGCCCCCCACCTGGAGGTTGGCGACCCTAGTGGAGATCTTCACTGGTGGGGATTTGAACCCGGGGTCGCCCTCGTTGGGCAATCTTGTTACATGGCACTGCCTCTTGTGTTAAGTTTCCAGTGTGCCCAGTTTTAGTATTCTTGGAGCCAAATGAAAGTGGTTTAAGCTGAAGTCTGGGAGGGTCTCCAGCCACTACCTGGAGGTTGTAGCAACCCGAGCTGCAGTGTTAAGAGAGTCAAGTAACGAATAAATATACACTGCAAGAAACTTTTGTGAATTAACGTGTTCTGTTTAGAACTATCGGTCTATAAAGTGCATAGTGTGGTATTATAACGTCCTTGTCAGGTACAGGGGTCATTTCCTGCAGGAGCACACAGGAGCGGAGCTCCAGCAGGTAAAAGCCCAGGGGGCGGGCACATACAACAAGCCCCACCCCCGGCTCCCAACAGCCCTCAGTCAGAGCAAGAAGCAGACAGATAAGTTTCAGAGCCCAGCCCCCGGCCCCAAACAGTCCAGTGGCACCTTTAAGACCAAGTTTTATTCAGGTACAAGCTCTCCCTCCTCTGCGAGGACAGATCTGCACGTCCCCCCCCCCCAATAGCTAGCAATCCAAAACAGTCCAGTGGAGCCTGAGCGGTGGGTGTGGCCTTCTGACACACTTCCAGTGATGTCCGGGGGTGTGGCATATGCAAATGAGTTATGCTAATGAGTTATGCTAATGAGCTTCTGGCTCAGGTACATATATTCAGTTCGTTTGGTTTAACAACCAAATCCTAACCCCAGTATCAGCCACCAAAAGTACAGTAGGATGCAGACTTTTAGTAGCAAATTATGAGGATAAATTATGACAGAGTAAGCTCCCGTCTCTGGCCCAGCTCTGCATAGCAACCCTAGACTTCTTTGGTGGTCTCCCATCCAAGTACTAACTGGTGCCCTGCTTAGCCTTTGAGATTTGATAAGGTCAGGCTAACCCACCAATCATAGCCTCAAAAAGTTTGTCCTCATAGGTAAAAGTAAAGGTTTCCCTTGCTCGAAAGCCAGTCGAATCTGACTCTAGGGGGCGGTGCTGATCTCTGTTTGAAAGCCAAAGAGTCAATGCTGTCCGAAGATGTTTTCGTGGTTATATGGCTGGCATGACTAGATGTCGAGGCGCACGGAATGCTGTTACCTTCCCACCAAAGTGGTACCTATTTATCTACTTGCAATTTCTTGCTTTCAAACTGCTAGGTTGACAGGAGCTGGGGGACCAGAGATGGGAGCTCACTCCGTCATGGGGCACCCGGGTCTCAAACTGCCGAACTACTGACCTTCCAGTCTGCAGTTCAGCATCTTAACCACTATGCAATAGAATTAATCCAGGGTGGGGTTTTTACCAGTCAATTTTGCATCGGTATTTGCCGGCCTTGAGAATGACAGGAGCGCTCTGTCCATGAATCTTAGCTGCACCATGTGTTTTTTTGTAGGACAGGCAACAAGCATCAACAAAACTACCATTGAAAGCTTCCCACCCCCCTTTGGAAGACTTTGTGCAAGTGGGGCTTGTCTTTTAAAATACTGATGCAAAATTGACTGGTAGTTGTTAAACCGAATGAACTTGAGTATATGTATCCGACAAGGATGTTATAATACCACACTATGCACTTTACAGAACAATAGTTATAAATAGAACACGTTAATTTACAGAAGTTTCTTGCCGTGTATATTTATTCATTACTTGACCACCTGGAGGTTGGTAACCCTTCATCTCTGAAATGGAGGCACTTCGTACATTGGCAAGGTCATTCGGCACGGCCAGGTACTGCGCATGTAGTGAATCGTTACCCTTTTGTCGTGAAGCACGCTGGTGTGCCACTGGGGGGGGAAATTTCTTATGTAGGCTGAAACCAAGGACATTAAAAACATGATTTACTCTTGTGTTTTCCCTGCAAGCACTGCAATCTGGGCTTAATTTTTTAAAAACTACAGCCGCACTGAGCGGTCATATAACTGGGGCCTCACAATACCTCCAAGTACTGTGCTCTGTGTGTGTGTTTACTAGCAGGGGAGCTGAAACAGTAGAGTGACCTGTTAATATAGCGGGCCGACACTTGCCACCTTAATCACGCACCAGAGCCGCTCAATGTGTGCATTTGTGACTCCTGGATAGGAGTCACAAACAAAGGAACAAATTAATCAAAACACCCCGGTAAAGAACCTTTTAGGGCAGTTATCGTTTTTATGAAATGGCTCTTCTCCAAGCAACAAGGAAAGGAAATGGGAAGCATTCAGAAAAAAATCTGTGTCAAGGTAAGGATGGTTTGGTTTTACAGCAGAGTTTTTATTGCTGCAGTGGTCTGTAAAAAGCTGCTTTTATATTTGTTTACGCTGTGGGCTTCTCAAGGGGGAGGCGTTCAGAAGTCGCATTAAGTCCTCTTAAAACCACTCTGCTACAGTTGTGTTTTAGTCTGTTTCAAAAGGTGGCAGTGTGCAGATGAAATAGTTCTTTTAATACATTCAGGGCCTTGCTGCTTTATGAGGAGTGCAGTCCTAAGCAGTTACACCATTCTTAAATTCGTGGAAGACAATGGGCTTAGAAAGGTTTAGGATTCCGCTGTGAGTCTTCCTGTCCAGTGTAACGTGGCGAGTAGCATAAAGCATTTCTGCTTGCTTGCTAAAGACTACAGATGTAGGAAAATAAATATTCATGAAAAGATGGTGTTCTGCTTGAGTGTCAGTCTTCTTGTCTGGGAAAGAGAAGGCTTAGTGGGGACATGACTGCAGTCTTCAAGTATCTGAAGGGCTGTCACGTAGAAGATGGAGCGGATCTATTCTCTCTTGCTCCGGATTGCGAGACTAGATCTAATGGGCGGGAATTACAAGGGAGTCGATACCGGCTAAATATCGGGAGAAACTTCCTGACTATAAGAGTGGTTGAGCAGCGGAACGGACTGCCTCGGGAGGTGGTGGAGGAGGCTCCTTCACTGGACGTTTTCGAGCGGAGGCTGGACGACCCTCTTTCGGGTATGTTGTAGGGCTGTCTTTCATTCTATGATTATAGAGCAGGTGTCCCCAAAGTGGTGCCTGTGGGCGCCTTAGTGCCTTTCCTGTCACCCATCAAGTGTTTTTAGTAGGGCTTTGGGGATGGGGGACTGCCTGGTTTTGTGGGCTCCTGCCTGCTGCAGGCCAACTGGCTGGCCAGAGGAAATTCCCCCTCAACAACAGCAACATTGTGCAATGTGCCTATGTCACCTGGAAGTGGCGTAGGCATGTTGGTGATGTCAGGGGTGATGCTCTGGTTTGGGGGGCAAAACTCTATGGTTTGAGGCCAATTTTACCATAGAGTTTTGCCCAAAACTCAAGAACATCGCCCTCAACGTGCCTACGTCACTTTGGGGTGAAGTAGACACGTTGTGGCACCCTTCCCCGCTCCCGGAAGGGTCCCTCGCACCCCCTACTGGCGCACCACTGGGACCTGGCAACCCTAGTTTTTAGAAAGTGGGCAGGCCAGGCGGGGCTTTTGCCCGGCAAGGCTTCTAATTGGCCACTGGAGATTTGATTGGCTGTGCAAGTTTTTTAAAATGTTTGCTTTGGCAGCAGCTGCCACCACAGCTGCTGTGGCAGCCATTTTGTGGCTGGCTCCACCTCCTGAAGAAGAAGAGATTGATTTATACCCCGCCCTTCACTACCCAAAGGTGTCTCAGAGCGGCTTACAAACTCCTTTCCCTTCCCCTCCCCACAACAGACACCCTGCGAGGTAGATGGGGCTGAGAGAGCTCTTGACAGAAACTGCCCTTTTTCAAGAACAGCTCTTATCAGAACTACACCACACTGAGGCAGCCATTTTGTGTCCGAATTTCAATGGTGCCCACCGGCTCAAAAAGGTTGGGGACTAGGGTTGCCAGCCTCCAGGTGGGGCCTGGGGATCTCCCACTTTCACGACTGATCTCCAGCTGACAGAAATCAGCCCCCCTGGAGAAAATGGCTGCTTTGAAGGGTGGACTCTAGGGCACTGTACCATGCTGAGGCCCCTCCCCTCCCCAAGCCCCACCCTCTCCCAGCTCCGCCCCCAAAGTCTCCAGGTATTTTCCAACCCAGACCTGGCAACTCTATTGGGGACACCCCGTCAGAGAAATTCCACCGCAGAGCACTTAAGACATCATAACATGCCGACTGAGCAGCACTGTCTGCAATGTTTTACCTGCACAGAAGGAAGATCGCTCCAGCTACCAAGACGCTCAGAACAACCACTGACGCCAAAAAAGCGGCAAACAGTTCACCTCTTGTATGGTTCTTGATGCTGGGGAGCAAATTTTCTTCACAACGAGCTCCTGTATAATTCTCAATGCACCTGTGTGTGTGTGGGGGGGGAAGCTTAGATGTGATGGGTGTTTTGTACATTTGCCAACACTGCGTTTGTATCGTAGCACACAACAGCACAGGCAAGAGCTCAACAGTACGGAAGGGTGGGGCCCCACAGAGGAAAGTTCCCTTTTGTCTTGCAAGTGGCAGGATCAAGATCCCTGCAGAAGCATCAGCTCCTGGCTTAGCAAGGGCCCCAAATGTGCCTCTGTCTTGACCCATGTAAGGCCCAAATGATTCACAATGGAAAGCCGAGGGGCATTGTGAAGGTTAAGAATAATTTTCTTAAACACTTGACATCCTGGACTTAAAACTAGGAACACCAGTTTTGATGCAAAGGCAATTTATCAAGAGTGGATGTAAAAGATTGCAAAGTTACATTTTCCATTTCTACCACCAAAGAGGGATGTCGGGGTTTTTTTATCGTAGAAGCTTCTTAAGATCATCATAAGGTAACCCAGTCTAGCCTGAGCTCAGAAGCAGGATTGGCCCCTAGTTCCTATCTGAATGGGAGACCACCAAGGAAGTCTAGGGTGGCTAGGCAGAGTCAGGTAATGGCAAACCATATGGGGTTGACATAAATCAGCTGCAACTTGAGGGAACTTTTCCACCACCAAAGAATACCACAGGTGTCCTGACCTGGATAGCCCAGGCAAGCCCGATCTCGTCAGATCTCGGAAGCTAAGCAGGGTTGACTCTGGCAAGTACTTGGATGGGAGACCTCCTTGGAATACCAGCAGTCGGGAGGCAGGAGCAAGCTTTATTCAGCTACCTCTCTGAATATCCTCCAGGCCCCCAGTAGGAAGAAGAGATTGGACTTGTACCCCGCCCTTCACTACCCAAAGGAGTCTCAGAGCGGCTTACAAACTCCTTCCCCTTCCCCTCCCCACAACAGACACCCTGTGAGGCAAAAGAAGAAGAAGAGATTGGATTTATATCCCGCCCTTCACTACCCAAAGGAGTCTCAGAGTGGCTTACAAACTCCTTTCCCTTCCCCTCCCCACAACAGACACCCTGTGAGGTGGGTGGGGCTGAGAGAGCTCTGACAGAAACAGCTCTTTCAAGGACAGGACTATGGCTTGCCCAAGGTCATCCAGCAGCTGCAAGTGGAGGAGTGGGGAATCAAACCCAGATTAGAGTCCCCACTTAACCACTACACCAAACTGGCTCTCTGGAGTTCATCGCCAGAGGTCGCCATGACTTCCAGATGCGCACACAGACACACACGCACATATGAAAAATACAAAACAAAATACAGGTTTGGTTCATCATGCAAACAACTACAAAGTAGCTTTGGTTTCTATAGATAACACTCTTGAAGTCTAAAGCTGCTGCTGTTACTACTGGTAAAATAACATAATCTGTAGCAGGGATGGGGAATACATGGTTTGACTACTTCCTTCTCTCATCCGGTGCTCTTTTCTGGGGGGGGGGTGCTGTGGATTATTAGACATTCCAAACCCTCTTACAGAAGTGCATAGTGTGTTAATCACTCTTTGGGTAAAGAAGGACTTCCTTTTATCTGTTCTGACCCAACTGCTCAGCAATTTCATTGAGTGCCCATGAGTTCTTGTATTATGAGAAAGGGAGAAAAGGACTTCTTTCTCTGCCTGCTCTATCCCATGCATAATCTTATAAACCCAATATACATTCATTTGCATTTCAGTCTTTCACATGAACATACCCACAGGGGGAAGAGTGGAGACTGAGCTCTATGAGGAAAGGCTCAGGGCCCTGGGAATGTTCAGTCTGGAGAAGAGGAGATGGAGAGGGGACATGATTGCTCTCTTTAAATATCTGAAAGGCTGTCATTTGAAGGAGGGCAAGGAGCTGTTCCAGTTGGCAGCAGAGGAGAGGACCCGAACCAGCAGGTTTAAATTACATGCAGAAGGGTATCGGCTGGATATGAGGACACACTTTCTCACAGTCAGAGTGGTTCAAAGGCGGAATCGGCTGCCTAGAGAGGTGGTGAGCTCCCCTTCACTGACAGCTTTCAAGAAGAGGCTGGATGAATATTTGTCAGAGATGCTTTAGGCTGGTCCTGCATTGGGTAGGGGGTTGGACTAGATGGTCTGTATGGCCCGCATGGTCAAAGCAATGGTATTCCCAGTAGTCATGTATGGCTGCGAGAGTTGGACTATAAGGAAGGCCGAGCACCGAAGAATAGATTTGAAGATCAAATCAGTCAATCCTAAAAGAAATCAACCCTGACTGTTCCCTGGAAGGCCAGATACTGAAGCTGAAGCTCAAATATTTTGGCCACCCAATGAGAAGGGAGCAATCACTGGAGAAGACCCTGATGCTGGGAAAGATTGAAGGTCAAAGAAGATGGGGACGGCAAAGGATGAGATGGTTAGACAGTGTCATAGATGCAATGAACATGAAATTGAGCAAACTTCAGAGCACGGCGGAAGACAGGAAGGCCTGGCGGGATCTGGTCCATGGGGTCGCGAAGAGTCGGACTCAACTGTGCGACTGAACAACAATGGCCCCTTCCAACTCTATGATTCTATGAAACATGCTGTAAGTGGCACATGTGAAATCCATTGTTCTGCAGTGGGATCAAGTTTCCCTTTTTCTCTTTCCCAGTGACATTGCAGGTTCCGTGAGCCAGTCCCCTTTTTAATAAGCACCGCACGTGTATGCTACTCCCCCCCCCGGTCCCGGCTTGCTTTGTGATTAGCAGTATTAATCAGAATATATAGTATTATTTTTAGAACTCTGTTCTAATCAGAAGAATCAGGGGTTTTTCTCGGTTAACGTGCCTTGTGTATAAATACCAAGTCCTTAGCGGGCAAAAATATCATCTTTCTTGTAACCTCTGTTCAGGCCAAGCAGCTGATCCAGGGTGCCAGTACTCAGAAAAGATTTTGAAAGCTATCTTCTACAGTGAGTCTGTTAAACTATGTGAAGTAAACAAGGGCAACTGTTACATAATAGACTGATGTTTCTTACAGGGTGGGATAATTGGACCCAATCCTAACCCCAGTATCAGCCACCAAAAGTACAGTAGGATGCAGACTTTTAGTAGCAAATTATAAGGATAAAGTATGACGGAGTAAGCTCCCGTCTCTGGCCCCAGCTCTGCATAGCAACCCTAGACTTCTTTGGTGGTCTCCCATCCAAGTACTAACCGATGCCCTGCTTAGCCTTTGAGATTTGATAAGGTCAGGCTAACCCACCAATCATAGCCTCAAAAAGTTTATCCTCATAGGTAAAAGTAAAGGTTTCCCTTGCTCGAAAGCCAGTCGAATCCGACTCTAGGGGACGGTGCTCATCTCCGTTTCCAAGCCGAAGAGTCAATGCTGTCCGAAGATGTTTTCGTGGTCATGTGGCCGGCAAGACTAGATGCCAAGGTGCACGGAACGCTGTTTCCTTCCCATTGAAGCGGTACCTATTTATCTACTTGCAATTTCTTGCTTTCAAACTGCTAGGTTGGCAGGAGCTGGGGGGCCAGAGATGGGAGCTCACTCTGTCTTGTGGCACTCGGGTCTCGAACCTTCCGGCCTGCAGTTCAGCATCTTAACCACTATGCAATAGAATTAATCCAGGGTGGGGTTTTTCCCACACACCCCTACACACATCCATTTAACTCAGGACAATAGTCCTGTTCCTTCAAAGCCAGGAAGAAACAGCCGTTTTCTGTTAGGAGGAGGATTCACACAAACGTGTGTGTATTTTAAGTCATGATGAATTCCTGCCGCAGTAGGAGAATGAAGGCCGGGGGGGGGGGGGAATCGCCCTTCAACAATTCCCTGGCTCTGAGAAATTGAAGAAGGGTGACTTGAAACTGAGGAGGGGGGGGTTATCGCCCTTCAACAATTCCCTGGCTCTGAGAAATTGAAGAAGGGTGACTTGAAACTGAGGACAGTAACTTCTTTAGTAACTCAGTTGCTGAAAAGAATGTCTACCTAAGGGAAAAAATTCTGGAGCTTTCCGTTCCTTCCCTGCATATAATCTTTCTTACACAAACAAAAACAGAACTCTGCAGCTTGCGGGTGAATCTTACTAAAGGTGGGGCTTAAAACATGCACGGGATTGCACCATCAGCGCAGGCCCGTAGCCAGGATTTTTTAAATAGGGGGGCCTTTCAAAAAGTTGGGGGAGGCACTGAAATGCGTGGCCTCCACCCCCCGCTTCCCCCTCAAAGCATTTAAAGGGACCCTTTAAATGCTTTGGGTGGGGAAGCAGGGGCCACGAGCTTGCAGTCCAAGCCACAGATTTGCAGCTTGGAGTGCAGGCGCGCTTGTGGCCTCCCCACGCTTCTCCCTTAAAGCATTCAAAAGGACCCTTTAAATGTTGGAGGAGAAGCAGGGGGCATGCACCTGCACTCCAAGACACAGATTTGAAGCTTGGAGTGATGGTGCGTGTGGCCTCCCCCATTTCTTCCCAAACGTGGGGGAGGCTTGGGAGGAAGTCGGGGGGCTGGGCCCCGAAGGCCCCACTGTAGCTACAGGCCTGCGTCAGCGACAAATTCAAGGCACTTTACATGTGAGATCAAATTGGTTTGTTAGCAGAGCATTTTTGTAGAATTACGGAGGGAGGGAGGGGTTGGGTCTGCGGTTAAAAGTTTTGAGAGACGTTTGCCTTTCTTTTCATCTTAGACAACGTAGCCAGTTAGCTCAAAAAAATGTGGGTTTTGCCTGTAGATGCAGAATGCATACAGAATACACAAATAAATAAACCGGAGGGAGGAAAAAACAGTGCAGAGGGAATGCGTGGAACTGCAAAGTCAACCCTCAAGGCTTGACTCCTCAGATTCTCCAGAGCACACTGTCACTGCAGAAAGGACCTTCGTTTCTACGTTGATTTCAACAAGATTCAGGGGTGGCTGGAGCCATTTAGCTCATGCAAGTTCTGTGAAACTCAAAGGGGACTTCTGAACTGAAATGCTACCACTTTACCATTTCTGTGGAGTTTGCTCCCTGAACAGTTGGCAGGCAGCCCTATGGGGGTTTAGAAAGGATGATGCTATGCGAAGGGAAGACT